GTCATCGATTGGCTGCCTCCTGCACACCCCACACTGGGGATTGAGCCCACAACCTTCTGGTTCATAGGTCAATACTCAACCACTGAGCTATGCCGGCCGGATGAGACCAGAACTTTTCAAATACCATTCCTGGAGCTGCAGCATCAGAAGGCAGGGACGATGGCAAGGGCTTCATTTTTCTCTGTTCTACATATTAAGATTCTGCATAAATTCTTTATTGAAGCCGAAACCGGTTTGGCTCAGTGGATAGACCGTTGGCCTGTGGACTGAGGGGTCCCAGGTTCGATTCCAGTCAAGGGCATGAACCTGGGTTGCGGGCACATCCCCAGTGGGAGATGTGCAGGAGGCAGCTGATCAATGTTTCTCTCTCATCGATGTTTCTAGCTCTCTATCTCTCTCCCCTCCTCTCTGTAAAAAATCAGTAAATATATTTTTAAAAAAATTCTTTATTGGAGAGAAGGGTTCCATTGCTCGGAAGATAGTTTGAAAACCAGTAAATAAAACTAATGAGTCCAGAGGTATTGATTCTGCTTCCCAAGTTACCTACATTAGGAAGCTGGTGGTGACAGCAGCTGAATAGAAGAGTATAAGGAAGACTTTCTTCCCGTCTCAAGAGGAAAACAGTGAAACAGAGGAGATCTCTTCTAAGCCACCACTCAGAAGGAAAGAGACCAAGAACACAGAGACCAACCTGCACACACACACACACACACACACACACTCGCTTTGCCCAGTGGCTCCTTCCTAGATGGGCCAGGGCCTGGATTGGGGGTGGGAAGACGGGGAGGGCTCACTTATCATCCTTGTCTGTGACATTGACTCGGGCGCCTCTCTGCAGTAACTGTGAGCAGATAGCTGCGTGACCGCCCAGCGAGGCGATCATCAGGGGTGTGCGTCCATCCTGCACGGATTGTGGAAAGAGAGTTCATGAAAAACCCGAGGTTTGCACAATCCTACCAGCTCCCTCTCCCCATACCTCTCCAGGAGAAAAGCCCAGCCTAGGGGCTAAATACCCCTTTGGAAGGGTTGAAAGCTCTCCAGAAGATAAGGCTGAACCTCTCTGTGAGGAAGAGGACCGGGAGGGAGGAAAGGTGGTGCTGTCCAACCCCTGCTCACAGAAGTTAGCCAATCAAGCTCCGGGAGAGCAGCAGCCTGCCGGTGCAGGGCACTGGCCAGGGTCCCGCTGACACTCACATTATCCAGGACATCCAGGAAGGCTTCATGGTCACACAGCAGGAGCACACTCGAGGCACAGCCGGAGGAAGCTGGGGAGGGTTGAGGGATGGTTGGGAGAAGGGGAGCAGGAAGTGCACCTGGTCAGATCGTGACCCAACATCCCCTCCAACTATCTTAGTATCAGCCCTGCCCTCTCCACCAAACGTTATCCTCCCCTCCCTTTCTCCCCTATCTTCCCCACAGCCCTGCGCCCACAGGCTCCTGGCACACACCTGCCCAGTGCAGCGGACTACGATTTTCTGCATCCACAGCGTCTTCATTGGCACCGTGCTGGGAAGAGCCACAAAGGGAAGCCGCATGGAACAGAGTGTTAACGTTCTCATCCCATACCCACTGTGGGGTCCCCAGCTTCCTAATTACAACGGGGAGGGGTGGGAGGATCATAGCTTTGTCCACTTGCTCGGCAGGCCCAATCTATTTCTTACAGGTGCTAGGCAGCCTTGAATTTCAGCCCTGGTTCTTAAGCCTAGGGCCTGAGGAACATCCGGTTACGGATAAGTAAGCATGCTAGGACAGTAACGCCCGGGTCGTGGCCGGTACTTTAGGATCGTAATTGGGAATCTTGCAAAGGGCTGGGAAGAACAAAAGCAGAACGGCCGTGGGCCTTCCGACCTGTTGGCCTTTGTACTTTTGGAAACTTATTTATTAATTGTCCACATGTCATTTCACATGTATATTTTCCTTTGTGCTCTAGGCTACGAACGCCTCAAAGACAGACAGTAGGATTTTGGTTTAATTTGAAGCTCTCTGCCCTCCTTCTGCCTGCCCATCATCATCACAGCAGCCAGTCTCTGAAGTGGCTCACCAATGGCAGGGCTCAAAACATGCATATTGACTGCGGGGCCGTCAGTCCCTGCCAACTCTACTTTATGACCTGCCCTCAAGGGCAGCATTAAGTGCAGGGCCTGCACATAGTAGGTGTTAAATAAATTTTGTGAATTAAAGAATCAATGATCACCAGCTCTCTCAGTGGGGAGGAGAGGGGTATATCTGATTCAATATTGCTTGTGGCTTCAAGACAAAGTTCAGAAACTCGGGGTCCACTTCTTCCCTTCACAGGAGGAGTATCGAGGGGTTGCTCTACCTGCAGCAGGACCTTGACACACTGTGGCTGGCAGGAGATGGTGGCCAAGTGCAGGGCGGTGCTTCCTGGAAAGAGGAGGAGGAACTCAAGAGGCAGGTGGGTGGCCCTATGCAGGCCAGTGACTCACAGGGAGGGAAGGCAAGAGACGCACAGATAATCAAAGGGAGATTAGAGAGAGAAGCTCTCAGCCACATGGGGCCAGAAATTCCTGTTCCCCAGGTGCCGGGTACACGCGGTGGAGGTGGAGGGGGGTAAGGTGTACCCAGCTGGCAGAGAGGGGAACCTCTGGAGGGTGCTGGCCAGGCTTTCTGAGGAAAGAAGCAGGGGCTGCGGTGGGAACCTCCAGCAGGGCCCCTCACAGGCCCCCACGGCTGCGGTAGAGGGAAAAGCAAGCAGCATGGCCCAGTCTGACTCACCGTCCTCATTCTTGCTGTTGATGTCGGCCCCATTTGCAAGCAGGATAGTCAGACATTCAGTCAGACCCTTGGAGGCTGCCAGATGAAAGCTGCAGAAGGATGAAGGGACCAGGGGATGAGGAATGGGAGAATCTTCGTAATCTTAATAATCACTGCCTGCTACACCTAGACTCTCTAACCCCAAGGCCAATCCCAAGAGCAGAGAGGGAGACTCCCCTGGCCCGACTTACTGAGAAAGAGAAGGCTCTAAGGCAGTGATGGCGAACCTTTTGAGCTCAGCGTGTCAGCATTTTGAAAAACCCTAACTTAACTCTGGTGCCGTGTCACATATAGAATTTTTTTGATATTTGCAACCATAGTAAAACAAAGATTTATATTTTTGATATTTATTTTATATATTTAAATGCCATTTAACAAAGAAAAATCAACCAAAAAAATGAGTTCGCCTGTCACCTCTGACATGCGTGTCATAGGTTCGCCATCACTGCTCTATGGCCTACTGTCATGAGTGAGAGGACGCTGGAAGCAGATATAGAAATAAGAGCTACGGGTCCCAAGCAATGTCAGACTATGGCAGGGGCGTCCAGGCCCCTTCCCAGACTGGCCGTGTCACAGGAAGAGTCAGCCAGACCAGAGCAGGGGCTGGACAGGGGAAGCCGACTTGGGCAGAGACAAGAAGCAATATCCCTCTTGTCCTACTCACCCCTCTTAGCCGTGTGACTCTCGTAGCTACCACTTCATTCTGAACTTTCCAAGCACACCCCCCCTCCTCTCTGTGCAATGCAGAAATACTCTATTTACTGTATGGGTCCATTTCCTGTTTGTTTCGTGGGCTTTATGTCCTCTTTGGTCAGTTTTGTAAGCTGGGTTGTGAGGTGGATGGAGCTCATAGACAATATCTTCTTCCCTCAGTTTGTGCCGCACTTGATAGGTAGCAAAGACTTATTAGGACAAAAAGGGCCCTGAAGTTGTAGGCGTTCCCTGTCCTCTGACATATTGGGGTTGGGGTTTTCAAAGGGAATCACATGCCAAAGGTGGGTCCCGGGACTGACTTACGGGGACTGGCCGTTGGCGTCGAGCTTGGTGGGTCGGGAAGACTTCCTGGAGGCCAGGGCGGCCACGCGCCCCACGTCCCCCCGCTGCACGGCCTCCAGCAGCTTCTGGTCACGGCGGTTCCATCTCTCCACCTGGTGCAGAGCCACAGATTGTGGTTTAGGTGAGGGCGGAGTGGAGAAAGGAAGGAGACTGCCCTGGCCAGTTTGCTAAGTGGTTAGAGCGTTGGGCTGACGACCAGAGGGTCCTGGGTTCAGATTCCGGTCAAGGGCACATACCTTGGTTGCAGGCTCCTCCCCCGACCGGGCCCTGGTCGGGGCTCGTGCAGGAGGCAACCAATCCATGTGTTTCTCTCACATTGATGTTTCTCTCTGTCTTTACCTCTCTCTACCAAACTCCCTAAAAGTCAATGGGAAAATATCCTCAGGTGAGGATGAACAGAAAGGAAGGAGACGGTTAGGAAGATGCCAAGCCAGGGGAAAGGAACATCCCCGAGGGCCTTTCAATGTCCCAATCAGCCTAGAACACATGGTCCTCGTTAGGTGAGCAGTTACATATCACCAGTTCATATGCCACCAAGCACCTCTTCTGGTTATTGCCAGCCCTGGATCAGAAGGTGCTTGGACTACTGAATTAAAAATCGTTTTGAGTTCTGGATGCAGAGCATTTCAAATGCCTTTTTAACCATCATTATGATTATCACTGTGGGTGCACAGCCTCAGACTCCCTTCCCTTTTGCTCTCGGGGTTTTGCTGGAGCAAATGGAACCAACTGACCGCCCCTGATTGGGCTCACATTGCCTCTCAGCTTCCCATGCTGCTCTGCTTTTTGTCTTTAGATATTTGGGGAATCAAGGCACCTAACGTCAGGTCACAGCCATGAGTCCAACTATCTACCCATCGGCTTTGGGCCCCAAACTGGGAGGAGAAGCACTGAGTTTCGGTTTTCCCATCTCATATCTCTGCCCATTACCTAGTTGCTCTTCCCTTTCAGGGCAACAACCGCCAAAAGGCAAATACAGGTCTCTCCTAGGTTTGAGGAGGCAGCAGAGGCCTCTCGCCTACCCCTCCCTCCCCAGCTTCCCCTGTTTCTGCCAGGGTGCAGCTGTCCCAGATAAGGCCACACCTGGGCATGTATTGTTCCATTATTCCAGCGTGGCTTTCTCCAGGTGACGGGGTAATTACAATAATTGAAGTATCACAGGGTGTGAGAGAGAGAGCTGGGTAAAACCATCCAGGGCTAAAGGCACAGAAAAGCCTGGTTTGACCCAGAGAAGGGGAAGGAGAGGAAGAGGGGATGCAAAGATCCGTGGACGGTGAGAAGGGCCGCAGGGGGCTTTGTCAGCCGGCCCGAGTTTGGGGTCTGGTTCAGCTACTTTCTCAGCTGTGTGACCTGACCTGGAGTAAGCCATTTCACACCTCTCACCTGTCTCCTCCTCTGTCACGTGTGCAAAAGAATAACTGCCTCGTCGTGTTGTGAGTAGTAAATGAACTAATGTGTATAAAATCTCTTTTGTAAACTGATGACCTACACAAGCGCATGGCATCCTTATAACAAAACAGGAAGTGCCGGGCTTTGGTGGTGGCACATTGCATTTTATGAGGTATAATCTCAACAAGGAAGAGGCTATGGGAGGAGGTGGAAAAATATAGGGCCAATGGAAGCCAAATAACTCATTTTCAAATACTGTTTACAGTCCTAACCGGTGTGGCTCAGTGGATAGAGCATCGGCCTGCGGACTGAAGAGTCCCAGGTTCGATTCTGGTCAAGGGCATGTACCTTGGTTGCAAGCACATCCCCAGTAGGGAGTGTGCAGGAGGCAGCTGTTCGATGTTTCTCTCTCATCGATATTTCTAACTCTCTATCCTTCTCCCTTCCTCTCTGTAAAAAATTAATAAAATATATCTTTTAAAAAAATACTGTTTACATAGCTAGGGCAAATTATCCATCAAAAACAGGAAAGATTTTAAATGTCCCAACCATAAAATGACCCAGGGGAGATGGTTTAGGGGTAAGACGCCAGGACACACTTGTAAATCCTCAGAGGCCTTTATGCTATTTCACTTGATGCTATTTCAACCAGCCGCTCAACCTCCCTGGAAAGTGGTTAGGGCTGATATTATTTTATCTGTGTGACAGAAGACGTAACCAAAGCCCACTGAGGTCAAATAACTGTGCAGAGACACCACAACAGGGCAGGAACGTTGAGATTAGAACCGAGGCCCCCTGCTGCCCAATGCCAGTTCTCACCCCCAGACCACACTAGTGCCCAGTGATGGGAGACATTTTACTTATTTCCAAATAAGCAGCCTAAGACTTGCCTCCAGGGCAGAGCCGCCCTCTCTCAGACGCTACCTTTCTGCACAAAGAGTCTCCAAGCAGGTTCATTCTCAAAGGACAAAATAAGCAAAACGATTGCTCCACATACCAACAGACTGAGGTGTAAGAACACCTTATTCAACGTCTTTGGGTGCTGGGTCACCCTCAGAACAAACAGAGAGCTGGCACTATGCCTCCAGCACAGCCACTGCGGTCAGCTGACCTCAGTGTGAAGTCCTCCGTTTAAAATCCTGATTCTAGCCCTAACCGGTTTGGCTCAGCGGATAGAGCGTTGGCCTGTGGACTCAAGGGTCCCAGGTTTGATTCCGGTCAAGGGCATGTACCTTGGCTGCGGGCACATCCCCAGTAGGGGGTGTGCAGGAGGCAGCTGATCGATGTTTCTCGCTCATCGATGTTTCTAACTCTCTATCCCTCTCCCTTCCTCTCTGTAAAAAAATCAATAAAATATATTAAAAAAATAATAATAAAATCCTGATTCTAACACTTCTTGTCCTTGTGAATTTAGGCATGTGAAAAGTTCTCTGAACATCAGTTTCTAAATGACATAAAGCACCTAGCACTGTCTGGCACATAGTAGGTGCACAATAAATGTTAGTTGAAGCCCCATTCTTTCTAGCCTTTTGGGGCTATGGACGAAAGGGGCCACATGCTGACCTGACAAGCTCAGGGAAGGCATGCATGGCGGTCTTGCAAACTCAGAGACCTAAAGTAACCACAAAGGATGGTCTGAAATGAAACTTTAACTAAAAGCAGTTATAGTGGGTAATTACATCGTAGGCCGGTATCTTCACTGACAATGTCAACCTTTACCTTAACTGAGCCAATCTGTCTTTTTGCATCTAGGATAACATACCCCTGAAGTGTCTGGGTAACTTGTAGCTTTCCCTTTCTCTGGACCCCTTGGGGCACAACCTAATATGCCTGGGCGCCAGGACAGTTACCACAAATTCCTTCAGTGTTATGTTAATTGTTCCTGTACCCACCTAAGTATGTGTCCATCATTTTACTTTTTATCCAATCCCAGGGGTTTCCCTGCTTTGCTTTCTCCCGCCTCTCTAGTCTATCACCAATGGATTTCATGTAACCCACCTATGTCCCTTTCCTTTTATTGCAATGTATAAATACAGATGTAACCAGCCATTCTCCGGAACATTCTCTCAATTCATTGAGGTTCTGCTTCCGGGCATATGTTGACAGTTTAGCTCAAATAAACTCACAAATTTTTTTTACAGGTTTCAATGTTTTTTTTACGTTAACAGGGCAAATTTTGGAAGTTCCTGGGCTCAGAATTCTCCATACAGGGGAGTGGAAGGAAGAGATCTTGCTCATATCAGCCGATGCTTAACAGCCAGGCTGTCTAGATGATAACAGTGTTTCCTAGCAAAGTAGACACTTTTCTTTCCAGCTAGACAGTTCTAAACCCACTGGATTTACTTCCTACAATCTTGTTATACGAAGAAGAATTTAGAATCGGTGGAAATTCTTCATGACCAAACCTCTGCGGAGCAGGGTGGAGAAAGGCAGAGATATGCTTCTAAATTCCAAGATCTAGTCCATTGCTCACCCAGCACCTTGGAAAAGAGGTCCCGGATTACCATCACAGCCTCAAGGGAGCAATTACCAAATTAATCAGCAGATTCAAATACAAGAATAAGCGTTGTATTTCTGTAGTTAAGATTAGGGGGCCTTTGTAAAAGTAATTGCAACTTCTTATCTCTGGCTGTGCGCCCGTAAGCTTCCCACCAACACACAGCACACCAACTGCAGAGGAAGAGTGGCCACCGGAACCAGGAGCTGACTCTCAATTTTTAAAATGCAACTGACATTTCTCTAAACTGACTCAGTCCCAACTGTTTAAAGCTATTTTCTGGCCTACTTCCTGCAAAGGCAGAGTAAGCTAACATGTAAGACGCCCTCCTCAAAAGCTTCCTTTACTTGACTAAAATAAGATGATAACAGCTGATTTTTGTCTGTTTCCTCAATTTCCTATATTCTGGATAGCTTAGATTAGTTTTAAAATGATCAGGCCCCAGCCTGTGTGGCTCAGTTGCTTGAGCGTCATCCCATGCCCCCAGAGGTCGCTGGGGGTTGGATTCCCGTTTGGGGCTCCATTCCCAGTAGGGGGTGTGCAGGAAGGCAGCTGATGATGCTCTCACATTGATGTTTCTCTCTTTCCCTGTCCCTCCCTTCTCCCCTCTTTAAAAAAAATCAAGCCCTAGCCATTTTGGCTCAGTGGATAGAGTGTCAGCCTGGGGATTGAAGGGTCCCAGGTTCGATTCCAGTCAAGGGCACATGCATGGGTTGCAGGTTCAATCCCCAGTAGGGGACATGCAGGAGGCAGCTGATCAATGATTCTGTCTCATCATTAATGTTTCTCTCTCCCTTCCTCTCTGTAATCAATAAAAAGTATTTTTTAAAAATCAATAAAAAATCTTAAAGAAAAAGATGATGATCAGTGATTTTTCAGTCTTTATCTCCATTTGAGAGTGAAGGGCTCTGGCCCTGGACCCAGGGGTGGGGTGTGGATGGGCAGGGCCAATCCAGTGTGACTGGGAAGCCAGGCTTTAGGAGTGGCCAGGGAGGTTGTCACACTATTTTATTTCTCTGACAAACGGGTCCAGAGTGGTTAGCGACGTGGGGAGTGGAGGAATTTCTCTTAAGAGGTATGAGGAAATTCATGAGGAAACAATTTGCCACTGAAACTGGCCCATTACCAAGCGTTCAGCGATCCTATCCCGACTGAGGAAAGAGTTTTCTCCCAGACAGTTCTAAATCCACCCAACTTACTTCCTATAACCTTGTTATGCTAAGAAGAGTTTAGAATGGGCAGAAATCCTTCCTGGCCTAAACTTTGTAGAGCTGGATGAAGGACCGAGGAATCCTTCCAAATTCCAACGTTCAGCCCGTTGCTCACCCAGCATCTTGGAAAGGAGGCACTGACCAGGGATTGGAAAATCAGGTAGAATGAAATAGTGTCCCTGTTCATAGGCACATGCAGACTCCACAAACCTGAAAGGGAGGAGCACCGTGGAGGACTTTCAGTAACTAGGGAAGAGTCCATGTGAATAGGAAAACCATTATGAGTTAGCACAGAGTCTGGGTAGCCTCCGTTTCCCGTACCCATAATAGTCAGTCAGTGAACGCCTTTTGATTGGTTGATCAATGTGCAGAAACAAAGTGGAGAAGCAAATATAAGTGGGACAAGGACAGGCCTCAACAGAGTTCCTGCTGTTGCCTCATAGCTCGCTTCCAGGCTTCTGTGGCCTGCCCATGCCGGGCGCACTCAACATTTCTCACGTTTGCTCACGAATGACATCACTAAGACAGGCTGGGCCAAGCAATATCACTACAGGTAGTTGGCATCCTCAATACATAATTCCAATCTCCACAGAAAATGTGGTGCCCAGGTTGGGGGTCTCTCGGTAAGAGATCTTCAGAGAAGAAAGGATACTCGTCCTAAGCCACCACCTTCTGTAATCTTCTTCCTTGTGTTTAGTTCTGGGAGAGCACGGGGAGTAGAGTGACTTCTGCTGGGAACTCTGAGTGAGTCCACTCTCTTCTCACCGCCACCTCCCCTCGACTCAGTCAAAGGAAGCAGGACAAGCCCTAACCAACTGGGTGAAGGTGTAGAGAGAAGGAAGATTCTGGGGAGAAGCAGGCGGAAGGCCCTGACTGGCCCAAGAACCAGTCTGATGACCAGACACTGCAGTGACCTGGTCAGGGTGAATTCTGCAGGCCACTTCCCGGATCTGTGTGGAGGAGCCGGGCACCGTGCCTTCTCTGGCAGAGCCGGCGAGGCTGGCCAGACTGTAAGATTAACCCACAGAGAGCAGGTGGGTCAGGCAAAGGGGGGTAACAGTGGGGTTCAACAACCATGGGGCAGAGAGGGGCAGAAGCTGAAGGGAGAACAGGAGAAGGCTGCTGGTGAAAGCACCCATTAGAAAGAGGCGTGGAGTGATGTCTGAGAGCCTGTGGTAATGGGGAGAGGATGGGCGTGGAAGAGGCACGGGTGCAATGGTGGAGACGAGTCCTTGAAGAAGGGCTAGGGAAGGCATGAGGCTGGGAGTACTTGCTGGGCTGAGAGAAAGCAGCAAGAATAGGACCATAGGGGAGGGGAGGGTTGTGAGGACAGCACAGGCCTGGACTTGGGGGACGGAGTGGAACTTAGGGCTGAGCTGGGGCTGGGGACAGGACAGAAGCTTGAGGATGGTTCAGAACCGAGAGACTGAGCCGAAGTAGAGGACAGGCCTTCGGAAGGGTAAAGGGCTGCAGGAAGCATACGAGAAGCTGGGATTGTAGGTGACAGGAGGACAAGCAAGGGCCAAGGGGAAGCATCTTGGGGAGGTCAGAGGTTAGCAGAGGCTGGGGGACAGGGTCTTGAGGGAGGCAGGAATGGCGGGCTGCATTGCAGGAAGGAAGACCTGGAAAGACCGATAAAGGGAAAGGGCAAATGGTGCCCCGGGGTGGGACACAGGACTCCTGTCACCACAGGGCTCGGACCCTAGCCCCGTTCCCATACTCCCAGACATTTTGGCACCTACCGCCACCTGTGAGCTGGAGCAGGAGAAGAAGCGCTTCATGGCCGGGGCCAGGGCCAGGGCCACGGGGGGACGGGGACGCGCGGAGAAAGGGGCCACAGGATCCCGAACCCACCGAACTCAGTCGCGGCTGTGCCGGGGCAAGCTGTCAAAAGCAGAGCCGTCCCGCCCCCAGGGCCGCCGCGCTCAATCAGAGACCAGACCCGCGGGCTGCGCTGAAAACTCCGCCCCTGGCCCTGCCCGCTCCGCCGCAGCGGAGGCAAAAAGCCTGCAGTCTTGGGCGGCGACCTGGGCTCGGTCTCAACCCCCGCCCTCCAAACCGAACCCGCCCTCCAAACCGAACCCGCCCCAGCTCCGACCGGTTAACCGTAGACTGAACCGCGCGGGCTGGGT